ACATCTTTGATGCACATACAGATTTGGAGCCATTATAGTGTTTGGTTAGGAAGTAAATGGGGAAAAAAGGGTAATGCCATGTGTGTCAAGTGTCTTAAAAAAGGTATGTCAGGGCTGTTGAATCCTGCTAGTAGACAAATGAACTGAAATTAAAAATTTTTGATTTAGTACAAAAGTTTGTTAGTGGTCACTGGTAACCTTACTAAAGTTGTTCAAGTTGTGTTGAGAAGAGACACACCACAATGAATTAAGAGTGAATAAGAGTTCAGGAACAGTATACATAGCTCAAACAGTAAATACAGCTCAGCAATTCAACCACAAGGGTGAGGAAAGAGCATAGTACCTGGAGGGACAGTAGAGGCTTCCAGAAGACTGGCAGAGGGAATATGGGGGGAGGTTAAAACAGGCATGTTTTAAGGTGCTGCTGAGGATACAAAACAAGGATATGGGCTAATGATATTGGTGAGAAAAAAAGAGTTGATTATCTAAGATTTCCTGAAAGAAAGAAGTTCAGAGCATGAACTGAGATACCTCTCTTACAGAGAAGACAATATGTTGTCAAATGTTCCTTGGGAAGGAGCGTGAACAACATTTGAAGCTCCTAGTTTCTTCCCGAAGTTGAAGTGGAGTGGGAATAGGGTTGTTGATTTAATGGAAGAAATAAAGATTTGATTACAGAAGCTGGGGATTGATTGCCCAATAGTACTGAAGGCCCTGTGAAATTTGATAATCGTATAATTTAAATTAGTACCATTCTTTCCTGTTATATACTTACAGAAAACTTCACAGATCACATGATATGTAACACATTCATAGTAAAACACTGTTTTAGTTTAACAAAGTCAGCCTACAATAAATGATTATATGACATTTATATTGTATCAGAGTTCACTGAGTCTAGTAATTATTTTCCCYATTGGAAAAGGTACATATATTTAATCATCAAGATGTGGTTTGGACACTATCAAATCTAAGTTTTTAATCAGTCAACCCTCTAATATCACCAAAACTATAAAATACATTGAATGAAAAGTGTTTTTAATACAAAAAATGTGCAATACTCTAAATCTGACGAGATAACCTTAATTTGGTTAGAGTTTTATGCTTGCATCAGAAGAGATTTTGCTAAACTCATTAAGGCATTTTTGTTAGCTTGATTAGTACGTTTAAGACTTTAGCAAGTAAGTTCTTAAATTTGAATGAAAGCTAAAAATCTCAATTATTCCTTGAAATTTGCCTTTTTAGGATCAGCTTAAAAACATCTGATGATTGGCAGATTGAATTATTAGATAAACTATTGACATTACATTTAAAATCTTTAAAGTTTTACTGACTTAGCATGATTTCCCCAAGTTATCAAACATTTACTCTAAGTTCATACCCAAAGTGATCCTGAATGATTACTTTATCAAATGCCTTTACAATCTGCAAAAGGCATAGATTAATACACAAATAACACTGGATTAAACATCAAAAAATATTCATGTTTCCTTGAATTAAAAAATGCAAGCACTTATGATTTTTACAATAATGGAGTAGAGTCTCAGACATTAGATGAAACAACCATCCCTAGAAAAGTCAAAAGACTAGAGAAATGAGTATTAATACATGTACACTAAAAGAGCAGTTCTTAAAAAAAATTCACTAAATTTCAATTTTCATTACTAAACATAAATTCATAGAAGGTTTTTAAAAATTACCCAACATATAAGCCTACTTATAGCAAATCATAAGAATTTAAAAGGCTAAGTCCATCAAATTCCCCTTGATAATCAATCTTTTAAATAGCCATGCATTTATTTTACCCTTAGAAAATCCCCCTGTATTTATTCAGAATAAATATGTAAAGAGTAAATGAATAATTGATACCATTACTTGTGTTTTCCTGGACTTTTCAATCAATTTCAAAGCTCAAAAGAAATTATAGTATTTCTTTTCTAATATAAAATTTTCTGAACAAAGACATTTAGGCAACACCCACAAAAATATTCTCTAGGGCTTTTTTCAACTTAAGTGTCAATAAGTTGAAATTTAAAATCATTAATACACATAGGACCTACTTTCTGCCAGATCCTCAAGTCTTCCCAATCAGTAACAGTATGAGATATATTTCTTGTACTCTAATACTGAACTACCAAATGCTTTGGAATTCAAGATAATGTGAAGTAAAAACAAGATACCCTTCCATAATAAAATCATAGAATCTCAAATGTCCTTATTACTTACTCTTAGGTTAGAGCACCTAAAGTATCAAACATAAAAACAATGCCTACTGCTAATTACCACTGCAGAAATATCTAACACTTGTATGATTCTACTGCGTAAAATTGCTTGCTGTACTACAAACATCAAATGACAGCTACAGTATTGTCACAGTGGTTTATAGAATATTATAAAAGATCTTTCTGATCACCAAAGAGCAACATTAAATCTTCATGAAAAGCATAGCAACACTACCTTTTGGAAAGACTTATGATATGTAACATGATACAACAGCTTAGCCTCACTTGTGTGGTAAAGGCCCATAATGACTAAGCCAGGTAGGTAGGCCCTGGCTTATCAGATTATTCATTTTATACAGTATTCATTTTTTATTTGTTGTGTATAGACTAAAAGTGCTTTCCAGTTTAACAATATTTGAATTTTAAAAATTAGTGTTGAAGACAAGTTAGAATGATTCAGCAACTAAATCTTAAATCCAAGAGCAAGAAATGCAGCTGATTTTTTTTTCTAAACCAACCAAAATCTTACTCAAGAAAACCTACTTGTATGGCCAGAGAAAAGAGAAATTAGTTTATATTAAGGAATTTAAAAAAGCATGCTATGAAACTGACAATCTGAAAAATAATTGGAAATAACATAAATCAGTGTCTATATTTTGTAATTTTGCTGTTATTTTTTAGTAGTTTAAAACCATCCAGGTTCACTTAATTTTAACAGATTCATAATTTAAGTAAAACATTTTAAGATACTAACCTTTTAATATCCTTATCTTTTAAAATTTCCCTACTATTACCTACAAACAATAGGTAACAGAGCTTTTTACCTCTGCTTTCATTCTTTAGTAACATTTCCTCACAGCTTGAATAAAACATAATATTTACAAAAATAATCATTGTAATACAAGCTCTATTTACTATTTTATAACCACCCTCTACAACTTCCTACAAAGCTCTTTTACCCTCTTTGTTTAAAATTTCAGGATTTTTTGGGGGGTAGAGAAAATGCATTCTGGAAGGGACACCAATTAAAAGTATTAAGAAAAATAAATAGACTAATCTTTTTTCAATATTCGACAGTAAAAGACCCTAACTAATGTTAATTAAAAAAACAAAAGCTAAACCACAGGCTGCAACAGTTCACACCCTGAAAATGTGGCCTATTTATCTTGAAAACATATAATCCATAAATAAATACAGATAAAACACAAAATTCACATTTAATATTCAGTCTTTAAATCCAGAATTTTGCCAAACTGTCTCATTATCATTTTCATTTCAAAATCTATCTTATATTTGAGAAAAATAGCTTTCATCTTCTGATAGGCTAAAAATAGACTCCTACTGTCTTTTTTACAAGAAACAATTACACTTGGTTATGAACCCGACCATATTAGCCACATCCTCAATACCTAAAATACTTATTTAACCCGATTTTTGGCAATCAAAATGATAACTAAATATACAAAAAAAAAAATCTTACCTATATGCTGCATTTTCTTTCAAATGCAAAATGGTTAGATTCCCCTTCTACTTAATCAGTACAGGGTCTGGACATTTTTCAGTCTGACTTGCAAATATTTGCTTTCCCTCTTAGGGCATAGCATCCGCAGGGTTATACAGCACTACTTACATTCTCTTCCACATAAAAATCAGACATTACATGAAAGGAAAAGAAAGACAGCCCATTTCAAAGCATCTGGCAAACCTCCATTGGCAACCTGCCAAGCCTCTGCTAAACCTTCCTGTCTTTCCGAGCATGCTCACTTAAACCAACAGCATGTTACTATGGCAACTCTGTAGGCAGCCTGTAAGTATGAACCGCCATTCTGATTTCAGAGTGTAAAAAACCAAATACTGCAGAGGAAGTAAAAGGAAAGAAACAGCGTATAACCTTCATCATATATAATTATACTCATGTTATTTCACAGATTCATATTTGTATATGTAAAATAGAAACAAACATCCCACATTTTTCCAGGCAAATATTTCACATGCTCAAATAAGTCCTTTTTCAATAAATTCATTCTTTGTTTTGCCCCTAAGCCCCTTGACCTAATAACATCCAAAAATGTACTAGACAATCTATTATATTTAACAATACTGTTGAATAAGTAGACAATATTCATATAAGCAAATATGTGCTACTCCATGGATGATTTCCTACAATTGTATTTTAAATGACATGGCAGTATTAAAAAGAAAACCATTTATACTTATAAAATATAAGCTAAATTTTTTTTCTATATTTTCTCAAACAGCCAAATGAACTTTTCTTCGGGTTTGGATAGAATTTTTTACCCTGAAAAAGATTTTGAGGTTATCTCTTAACCTCTACCAGGATTCTCTAACCAGACTTGAGTTCAAATCCCTATCCTCCACATTTCAGTTGTGACACCTTTCTGAATCTCACCTCATCTTCAAAGTAGGATAACAACAGTTATTTCATAAGGCAACAGTTTAAATGAAATAAAATACTTAAAAAGTACATTTCTTTCCTTCTGGGTTATTTGGAAAAGACCCTAAGGAAACAAATCTTAATTTGTGCATAAAACTTGATAAACACTTCCTGTCACTTCTAACCCCCCCAAAACTAGTGCTGATTTACATACTGAGTTATGAGCCAAAAAGCTCCCTCAACCCTCAAATCAACTTGAGCTAGAAATGGATAGAAACAAGTGACAGGGAATCTAGAACAGAGGGTAAATACATGACGGTATTATTATTACTCGAGAGCATTAAAAATGTTCACATTYGCTATAAACATGAAATTATACCTACCACCTCCTCTTCTTCCTTTTTGGCTTCCTTTTCCTTTTCTTCATCATTTTCTTCAGCAGGACCATCTTCATCATCACTACTGGATGACTCAAGGATTTCACTTATATCCATTTTCCAATTATCAGGAACAATTCTAGTTTTTAAGAAGATACTTGCTTTCTGTAGCCCTACGAGTGAAAATGTACTTCAGCAGTTGCTATGGAATTAACAGCACAGAATGACAGAAAAGGCATGACATTCAGAATCAGAAGATCTGAATTCAAATTCAGCATGTATAAAATGATGCGGTAAGGTTGAACATATTTGAACATATTTCTTAAGCTATAATGTTGTATAAATGTTATTACTTTAAGGAGTACTGTTAGAAATCTTAATGGCAAAATATTAAAGTTAAACTTGTCTAAAAATTATGAATCAAATATTTTATCCATGCATTTAAAAAACTACCATTAAGGTCTGGGGATGTGACTCAGTGGTAGAGCAGTTGCCTAGCACACATGAGGCCCTGGGTTCAAAGCCAACACCATTAAAAAAAAAAAAAAAAAAGCAACCCTGCCATCAGATAAGAGCGATAATCAACTCTAAACAGTAAAAAGGGCACCCGAGAATATTCGATCTGGCTTTATTCATTGAGAAATAAGGGATTTCATTCATTTTGAAATAAGGGATTGATTCCTCCTATTTTACCTGGTTTAGTGGAGAGCTCTGATTCTGGTAGATTGAGAATGTCTACTTCCTTAATATCTTTCCTTGCTATAGAATAACTAATAACAGAAAAATAAAGGGGAGGAAAACCACTTATTAAATAAAATTTATGACTTCAATAGTTTATATTAAAAAATGAAAAATATAAAACCCCAAATCAAATTTATTTTGTTTATAAAAGTGTTTTAAAAGTCTAAGACCATGCATATCCCCATCTTTTTAATAAAGGATCAGAGAGAATACAAGCAAAGCTAGTATCTTATTTCTGAAGTTTTATATACTCAAAGTACCACTAATTTGAGAGCCTTAAACCCATATAACCCTCCTACAGATAGTGCAAGGAAACTGATAATAAGCATAATATTTCCAACACTTGTAGACAGTGATGCTGTTATAGTTTGGATGTGAGGTATCCCCTGAAAACTCACATGTGAGACAATGCAAGGTTTAAAGGAGAAATAATTGGGTGACAAGAGCCTTAACCCTACTGGTGAATTAATCCTCTGATAGGATTAATCGAATGGTAACTGAAGGTGGATAAGATGTGGCTGGAGGAGGTGCATCATTGAAGGCATGCTTTGGGGGAATATATTTTGCATCTGGTGAGTAGAGTCTCTCTCTTCCTAATCATCATGTGAGCTGTTTCTCTCTGCCACACTCTTCTGCCATGATATTCTACCTCATCTCAAGCCCCAAAGAATGGAGCTGGTTGCCTATGGACACAGACACCTGGAACCATGAGCCTTCAAATAAACTTTTCCTSCTCTAAAATTGTTCTTGTCAGGTCTTCTAGTCACAACAGTGAAAAAGCTGACTGAAACAGATGCTTACTTTAATGTTCAATATTTCTTAATTGTTAACTAATTTTAATTTTAAAAAAATTACTCAAAACTAATACTTAAGTATCTTTACTATGAGATATATTACGGTATTAAATTTTTTTGGAGAATTATACTTAATAAATGTATGTATTAAATTTCTCCTTTTAAAAAAAAAAAACTGAGGGAAAACTTAGGGAAGTTTCCAACAGTCTGGTTTTTAATCAGAAAGTCAAAATAATTATTCTAGTACTATAAACTCTATGAAAAATAAGTTCATAGTTCATAATATGAAATGGTCATGATAAAAATAGTTCCACAATTAAAGAAAAATCAATGCCTTGCTTTATTTAGAAAATAACATTTTCTTAATATTATTCTCATATCAGTAAAAAATACCCTACGTTACAAAAACTCAAAACTTATAACAACTTCTCAGTTAATAAGTGATTAGAATTTTAAAAATAAAGACACAGTGAAGTGGGTCTATTACTGATTCTACTTCTTATTCTCCCATGTAAAATTATTAAGTGATTCATTACTTACAATTTAGAATCGATAAATGATCGAACTAAACACTGATCCTTTTTCACTGTGATGTCATCATTACAGCTAGGAGATATTACCTGAAATATAAAATAAAGAACTAATGATCCCTATTTCCCTTGTTTAGTAAAAGAATATATTTTTTAAAAGAATACCTCTGGTCCCCTAACTTCTCAAATGGATTATACTTTACAAGAAATAGCTCCATTATAAATAACTTCCATTATTAATGAACTGTTTAATAATAAAAAAAACGAACTCTGGATAATATGTAAAAAGAATAACTGATAAAATATACGTTAAAATGTGACCTCTACTTTTAAAATATTTGGGATTTATCTAAAATAAATAATAATTCATTTTTTGACCAAAAAATAAAATTTATGAAGGTGTGATCTGAGATGAAAATCTGGCACCAGCTAGGTGTGGCGGTGAATACTTGTAAAGCCAGCAATTCAGAAGACTGAGGCAGGAGAATCAAAAGTTCAAGGTCAGCCTTTGCAACTTAGGGAGACCCTGTCTCAAAGTAAAAGGGGCTGAGGATATACCTCTGTGGTAGAGCGAGCCTGGATTCAATCCCCAGTATCTCAAAAAGGGAAAAAGGAAAAGAAAATATGGACACATTATAATTTTTAAAAACATACTTCTATCAGCATCTATTTTAAAATAATGGCTTTTGTTAGAAACGAGACAAGAAACACCTAAGAACCTTTTCTTACCAGGGCATCTAAATTTTTTTTTTTTTTTTWA